ACTGCTACGGTTGAAAGATGCTTTTCGGCGAGGCTTTTATTCCACCCCACACCCAAGTCTGAATCATATTAGTGTCATTTTCTTAGTCAAACGGTGCCACCGTTTGAAAAAAATTTCCGTATATTTGTTTCTTATAGTCAAACGGTGTCATCGTTTGAAAAAAAATTCATATATTTTTTTTCTTATGGTCAAATGGTGCCACCGTATAAAAAAAATTCTGGGTCCGTCCCTGCTCGCTCCCTTAATATGAACGCGTCGATGGAAGTTTCGATCGATCCTGCAAGAAGAATCATCTTCGATACAATGTAAGTGCTTTTGTTTTTTTTCTTAATTCTCGATACAGTATATATACACATTATTCAGTACTGATATTGATCACCAGAATCAATTTTATATCTTCTATACCAAATTTCAATTGACATAAAATCTTATTAGGGTTTCAACGTTTGTGTGTAGTTATAGATGAGTGCAGTAATCGCGACCGATTTAGAGATTGCATTCGGTGAATTACTGAATGTAGTTATAGGTCATCAGACTCTCCAATCTTCTACATTCAAAACCCTACTGAAACGCCTTGAAAATACCCTAAAAACTATGGAGCCACTACTATTTTGTGAAAGCTGGGGGTTGAGCAAACTGTTGGCCCGTCCTGAAAAAGAGACCATAATGTTCATCTTTTACCTAGAGAATGGGAAAGATCTCGTTCTCAAGTGCTCGAGGATCCGGTGGTGGAATGTGTACAAGAAATTTGTTCATGCAAACAAGTTGATTCGATTGAACAATGAGCTCTTAAGGTTCTTTCAGACAGAAATGCAGGTGAACATGGTGACCACTAGTATTAGGAGTTTAATTGGTATTCATGATTTGGAAGAGAAATTGGATCGAGTACTTTCAGCTGTAACTACTCCTGTGGGCACATCTTCTGGTTCGTGCACTGTTCCGGGGATTCCGCAGCTTATCGTTGGCTTGGATTTGCATCTTGAAGAATTGAAGCATAGACTGCTTAAGGATGAGACCCAGTTGTTGGTGGTTTCAGGTCCTGGAGGTTGTGGGAAGACTACTTTGGTGAAGATGCTTTGTAATGACAACGGAATAAAAGGTACCAAAGATTAATCAGTTTATATATTCTTCTTTAGTTTGTGCTATCTTCTCTCTGTGTGCACCCATAAAAGCTTGCAATTTTGCATCACATCTAGCTAGCCGAAAGTTCATTTAGGAACAGTAAATCTTTTGAGAACCTATTTGAACCAAATATTCATAATGAATATCATGAATGATCATCATGAATCTTTATTCATAATGAATGTTCATCATGAAAATCTTTATTCATTATGAATATTTGATTCTCAATTTCTCATGGTTCTCAAATGAGCGTCCTCTATCTAGCTATAATTGCAAGTCTTGAAGAACATTATGTACTGTGATCAAGTTTGCAATATAATCCATCAAACTATTGCATCGATCAATTTTTTTTCTGCCGAAGTACAAAGATCGGGATAATGTAGAGGACTCGCATATGTATATGATGTTTATTTATAAAAAGATTGTTCAGTAATGAACTCCAACATGAGTTTCATTTTAACCTTTTAGCCTGCTTGTATTTGACAGACATGTTTGGCGAGAATATCTTTTATGTTACTGTGTCGAGACCGTCTAGCATCAAGACTGTCGCCCAAAAACTATTTGAACATCATGGTGAAAATCATTGCAAGTTTCAGAGCGATGAAGAAGCTAAGAATCAACTCGAGAACCTGATGTGGCGGATACGATCAGATAAAATGCTGCTGGTCCTAGATGATGTATGGTCTGAATCTGAATCCCTTGTTCAGGATCTTAAGTTCCAAATACCAGGATACAAAATTGTAATCACATCAAGGTTCTTGTTTCCAAGGTTTAATGCCACATATGAATTGAGCTTGTTGAATCACAACGATGCAAGGGTTCTTCTATGCTACTCTGCATTTCCGCGTGACGGTATTCCAGTTAACGTGCCAGATGATCTCGTGAACAAGGTATAGAAACAACAATCCCGGGAAATATACTCGCATAGCAGAAAGTTCAAATGAGAAACTAAATATTTTGAAAATCTGGGAACCAACCGTTTCTTAACTTATTCATCATGAATATTTGGTTCTCATGTTCTCAAAATATTCACTGTTCCTATATAAACCTGCCCCTACTTGCATATTTATGTATGTATATATATACTTGTGAGTAACTTTGCTTGTGCTTCTGGATGTAGATTGTCAAGCACTGCAAGGGACTTCCATTAGCCCTTACTGTAGTTGGTGCATCACTATGTGGGCAAGGTGCAATCAAGTGGCGAACCACTTTCAAGAAATGGTCTGAAGGTCAATCTATTTTGCAGTCACACAGCAGCATGCTGGTCAGTCTCAGTGCCAGCATTGATGCACTGGATCACGAGTTGCCTATTGTGAAGGAATGTTTCTTGGACTTGGGTTCATTTCCTAAAGATGAACGGGTTGCAGCCACGGCTCTTATGGATATGTGGGTGGAGTTATACAATCTTGACGAAAAGGGAATGTATACGAGTGAACACCTTCATGAGCTTTCATCAAGAAATCTCGTCCATCTTGTTCCAATAAGGTACTACTCCAGCATTTCGAATTTTTTTCCTAAATGATCATATTAAATGTTACTTCTCCATCTGTCAACCAACCCAATAAATCTTATGATTTTATAGGAAAGATGTGGGTGAACTCGAAGGCTATTGTGATGAACATCATGTCACACAACACGATTTGCTAAGAGAGTTGGCCGTCCACCTGAGTAGCCAAGAGCCTATCGCACAAAGAAACCGATTGTTCATGAAAATCCATAAGAATAACTTCCCCACATGGTGGATTGAACAAATAAGGCAACCGATCAATGCCCGCATCTTATCTATTTCAACAGGTTTCATTTCTTCATATTCACTTTTTTATGATTATATGCATCCTATCTTTAGATACTTACCACAATCTTTAACTGCAGATGAAGCATTCTGCTCAAACTGGTATGATCTAAAAGCACCTAAAGTTGAAGTATTGATATTGAATATAAGTAGTAAACAATATTCACTGCCTCAGTTCATCGAAAGCATGGGCCAATTGAAGGTTTTAAGTGTCACAAGCTACGGTGATAATCCTGCTCAACTGCACAATCTTCCATCGATTGGTGTTTTATCCAACCTAAAAAGAATCAGATTCACACACCTTTCAGTTTCCTCTTCTATTCAACCCATCTTTGCATTGCAAAATCTACAGAAACTTTCCTTTGTTATGTGTGAGCTCAGTAACGCTTTCACGAATGATACCACTGGATCTCCTATGCTACCAAATCTCACAGAACTTGAATTCGATCGTTGTTATGATCTTAACGAACTACCAGCAGGATTATGTAGTCTTGTTCATCTTCAGAAACTCAGCATCACTAATTGCCATGAGCTGGATGTTCTTCCTAAAGGGTTAGGAAGGCTGTTAAATCTGGAATTCTTGAGTCTGAATTGCTGCACTAAACTTCAAGAATTACCTGAATCGATTGGAAGCCTGCTTAAGCTGCGCTTTATTGACATATCCGATTGTTTGAGTATAAGCCTGTTGCCTGAACAAATTGGCGAGCTATGCAGCCTGAGAGTGCTTAAGATGAGAGGGTGTCAAGGACTACAAGATTTGCCGGTATCGATGAGCAAATTGTTGCAGCTAGAAGAAGTGATATGCGATGAAGAGACGTCATATTTGTGGATGGATTTCGAAACTGATCTGTGCAATTTAAAGATTAATGTTGTCGAAGATGACAGATTTGAAAGCTTCATGAAAATCGTTCAGTAAGTTCTAAACATCTTATTTGTAGACTTGATCTGTGCTGAAATCAGTGCAGATTGTTTACCAATGCTACACTTTAATTGATAGTGTACATGGAAATAACGTATTTTTTTCTAGATCAGTTTTTGTTTAGTTATTGTCTTTTGTCATTTCTCATAGTTAAAAGGCTCTATTATGTAATTTAGGCGCCGTTTATCAAATGCTACCTAGGAACTCTGTTTGATGGGTCACTTACCTTATCGGTTGAACATGGTAGGGACCGAGAATCTTACCCGGTAAGAGGGATAGTAAGGATCGAGAGGTTTACCAAGTAAATTGTTGCATACAATGCCGTTTTGATGGACTGGAATCTTACCTGGAAAATAAGTGAGACTGCGAGAGTGTGGACTTTTACAGGTAAGCACTAATTGGGTTAAGCGTTTGGGAATTGATCGGTGCATCTCGTTGCATCTCATTAGTGTTAATCTTTAATTAGGATTGATTCAAGGTTGGAAATTTCTTTTTACCTTTCTCACCATAATTTGCATTATCATGGACAAAAATTTTACTCTGTAAGACAAGTGATAATATTGAATCTTAACAGTAAACACTTAAATGTTTTAGTAAACAAACCCTTAGACATAGGTTAGCATGTTGTGACTCTCACCACGTGGGTCCAAGTAATAGACCTCAATTGTTTATATCCTTAGATTCGAGTTCAACACATTTATTAAACAGGTTAAAAATCTCAACTCAGCCCATTTAATTAAATGGGTTGAGATTTTTTCAACTCAATCCAACCTGTTTACCTAAATGATTTGACAGCGGGTGGACTTGGTTACAATTTTTTTAAACCAACTTGTTGAATAAATGGGTTGAACCTGGGTTGACTCATTTAATTTTAAAATTTTAAATAAAAAAAGGACTAGACTATTTAAATTTTTTGAATAAAATATAACACAACCATAAATACGTTCAAAGTTTGAATAAAACACAACCAAGACAAATATATTGTTCAATATAAATTGGAAAATTTTAAATTCTAAGTAACTCGACTTCTACTTTCACCAACCCAAGTTCACTCTCGGACGCCTGGACGGAGAGAAAACCAAGAGGGAGACAATTAGACAAATGTTGGACGGAGAGAGAGCCTAGAGGAAGAAAACGTTGCACGGTCGAGAGATCGAGAGGGCGAGAGGCGAACAACAGATTTGAAGAGTTTGATTGAACTTTGGAGGCGATAATGGAGTAATGGACTAAAGAGTTTTCTTAGAGTTTCATGATGATTAAGAGTAATAGAGCCGATTGAAATTTGGACACTTTCATCACACAACGATAGGATTTTTAATTAGGAATAAAACAAAATTAAAAATTAGAATACTAGATATAATATTAAGAATAAAATAAAATAATATAATATTTTAAATGGCTTGGAAACATGTTGAAAAATTCAACCCAACCCAACTCATTTATTTAAATGGGTTAGACGGATTGACCTGTTTATTTAAATGAGTTGAAAATCTCAACTCAATCTATTAATTTTGGGTTGGGTTAGGATTGAATTAGTGGGTTGGGTATTTTTTTTTCCCCACCCCTAATTTCCATGTTGCATTTCGTGCAAGTCCAGTACATGATTTGCATATTTTTTTTTATGGAATTCATCTTTAGAATATTATTTTACAAGTTACCCATGCTTACGTTCAAAGTTATATGTTTTGATGAAATTATGATTGGAATTTCGAATGCTTTATGTTTATGAAAATGTTTGTTAATTCATGCATCGTATCACAATAAAAATAAAGTTCAAACCTGCTGATTAAGCCTCAAAAATCTCTCAAAGTGTGCTCCTCGTTTCAAACTTCGAACTGACATATTATGGGTCTGAAACGGAGTCTCGTAGTCAAAGTTATGTGTTATCACCTCTCTTTTTAACCCGGTCATGAGCCTCGAGAAATAATAGAGTCGGGTCATCCATGCCAAGGCCCGTATCATTAATTGATAAGGTTGAAAGCATAAACTCAATTTACAGTAAAATCATTAGTAATGAGTAGTGACAGTTAAAACCACATATAGATGAGCAAGGATAAGACCCAGTATTATGTACGAGAAGAAGATGTTATAAACTTTGTTATATTTTGTTAAATTTAAACCATTCATTATTCAAGTTATTTCAATTTTGACCATAGAATCTAGTTGTAAACTCATTTTTTATACCTTTTTTATAGTAGTTTATTCACTGAATTATCTCATTAAAAAATAACATCATGTTTTTGGGTTCTAAACTAGGTATCAAATCAACATGAAACTCTACTACTTGTTGATGTCAAGACGAGTAAGCTCTATATCCTTTAAAGTAATTTTGCCCCATTGTAAGTGCTTTGGGATTTGATGAATTGTCTCTCAAGATACAATGAAGCAACGTTTGTAGACCGATTATCAGTACTGCACTAGTGATGATAACCCCAGTTAAACTACTGAGTAATCAAGGATTTCATGAAAGCCTAAAGGGTGTATTTCTATAGCAAGACACTTTTAGGGTAATCTGTTATGTAGAGAAAAGATGCATTTTTGGTGTCTAATGGTAGGTATATATAGGTATAAGACCATCTACAACCTTAATACCAAATATGGTGGGTCCATCAACTCTAATCCCATTCTAAAAAAAAAACCAAATATGTGGATCTCGCATTAAAATAACATATTTTATTTACTATTTTTAATAATAGTAATTATAATTTGTAAATACATATTAGAATGATAAATAAATAGTTATTAATTTATTTAATGAAGACTTGTTAAAATAAAAACGACAATTTTTTAATTAATAAACTCTACATCAAAAAGATTACATTAATTCAAATAAAACAAATTAAAAAAACACATAAATAATATCAATTTTCCGAGTTAGTATATTATCCACAAATGATCAATTAATGCATTACGAAGTTCAAAGTGAGCATATTTATCCTTGATCTTTTTGTGTCGAGCAAGAAACTATTCAAGTCCACCATTGTTATCGTTCATCATCTCAACTCTCACGTTTTGCACTTCATGTCGTTCTTCAATTGGTACATTAATATCACGTTCGTCTTCTATGATCATATTATGCATAATGATACACGAAGTCATTATATCATGCAATATTTCTTTCCTCCGTAACCGTGAAGGTCTTGCTACTATTGCAAATCTTGATTTCAATATGCCATATGCACGTTCAACGTCTTTTCCACATGCTTCTTGTTTCATTGTACAAAGAAATGTTAAAACTAGACGTATCCTATAAGAAGGGGTTTAAGTTTGATCATGTCTGGCACCTCATGAAAGATTTCGAGAGTTTATCAAATGTCATTATATCGACTCAATATCAACGACAAAGTCCTTATCAATCACCTTCTCACTGTCTCGGTTCATCATCAAGGATAGATGCCTGTTTACCCTCATTGAATCTTCACGACGAAGAAGGTATTACTTTAACTCAAAGATCAATTGGTGTTGAAAAAAGCAAAATCAAGGCTCCAATCCGATGATAAGCTAGAGACTTTAGTCAAGGCTAGTAAAAAAAATAAGCAAAAATAGCCTAGAACAATGAAGTTATGACAAGAATGAATAAAGTTCAAGATGAGAGAAATGCAATAGATACAAGGTTGGTGGATGACAAAACTATGTTTACTGATATAAGTGTTATCATTGATCCTGTGTGTTATGAGTTCATAAAAAATGAAAAAATTCAAATAATGAGAAAGAGAACAAAACCTTAGGTTGATAGACAAGGATCAGAATGTCAAATATTAAGAAATAGAATAGTGGTCGCCCCCTCTTTTTTTCGGTTGAGATTCACACAACATATATGTTGTCTCAAATTGGCGACGCATCTAAACCGTCATATCTGCTTTTTGCAACCCCTGATGTGAACGATTGCAATTGTTCAGAACAAATGCTACCATACACAAACCCATTTCGCAACTATTACATGGTTCTCACTAAAGGGCCTGTTGAAAATAAATGGGCAAAGTGCGTCACATTGGGCTCCCAATCGCGTGTGCGTAGTAAGGGCGTGTTGCATTCTTATAGAACCCCTGCTATTTCCCATATATTAAATTAATATATAGAAAATAGTTTCACTAATATACTCACTTTTATTTTATTTTTTACCTATTTAGGACAAGGGGAAATCTAGACTTTAACCCATAAAATAAATAATACCTTTATATTATTTTAAAATTTTCGCAACATAACATATGTACAATATAGGATATTTTTAATCACATGTGATTAACAAAAAAAAAGATATTATCAATCAAAAAAGTTAACTAATCTATGCTTTTGAATATGATATCAAAAATTAAAAAATGTCATTAATCAGCCCATCAATTATCAACATATGAATCGGATCAATCTCTGTATCAAACATGATTCATAGATGGATGTAAGATTAAAAATGACTAAGAGTTCAGATCCGTTTTCACGCTTCTAATCTAAACAATATTTATAGATAGGTGTAAAATTAAAAATAATTAAGGGTTCAGATTTGGCTTTACGTTTTTCACATTAATTTTTCTTATGACACGATAGTTCAATACATGAGTCAATTAGGTCATAGAAATACTCATGAAGGGTTGTTTGTTTACCTCTTAATAATTCAATTAAGAGGCAACCTATGAATCGTTAAGAGATGAATCTTGTTTGACAAATTAAAAGTCTGTCTCTTAATGGTTTTAAAACCTTCTGAATGATTTTGTATCCATTGATCTCCCTTAACCATTAAGAGCCTTAATTTCATTGTATACAATTATCAAACAATTATATTTTATTTGCATTATATCATTCGAAACTCTTAATCATTCTACACCAAATCATTTATCAACTGTCAAAGCGTCCCTCAAAAAACTCAACTTAATTAAAAATCATACTTTGTTTTATAAATTTGTCTTTATTCCCCTCCATCAGCTAACCCACGCGACCCTGGTCCCTACCCTATAATCCACCCGCTTATGTCTCCACATCATGGGTTAAAAGGCTTTAGTCTATGTACATTGATTGAGAGCATGTACAATCAATTTCTCAACTTTTTTTCATAATAAAAAATTAAAATATTTATAAAAAAAATATATTCATATCTTGCAGATTCTTCGTTTAAAAGAATCCGATATTTATTATAATATTAGAATATTTTATTAATTTATTTAAAATATTATTTTTTTAATATTTTTAAAGTTTTCTACTGAAAAATATATATTAAAATTATTTCTTTCACATGATAAGACTGAGAGCATCTTTAGAACTAGAAGTTTCTTTAAAATTTTAAAACAAAAATATATTCAATTCTATTAAAAAATTATAAAATTAATTATATTATTAAAATATTTCTTTCTTCTAATAAACTATTATTTTTCTTTTTAAATATTTATTTGCAAAGTTTTTTTTGATGAAAATATATTAAATAATATTCATTCCTCATGGTAATTATTTTTAATGTGGTCTTTAAATTTGGACATTTTTACGTTCTCTTCTATATTAAGAAAAAAAATTGAAAAAAAAATTATGTTTGGGGAAAAAAGGAGCCAAAAGTTTCCATTTTCTCTAAATCCATAATTTACTCTAAATTATATTTTCATTATAGAAAATTACCTTTTATAATACAAACTAGATAAACATATTGTTTTATTTCTTATTTTTTCGAATTTTATATTTGAATAAATATATTTTTGAAGGTATGTACATATCTAGTCATTCTTAATTATATTAGTTAGGGATTGTTTGTTTACTTCTTAATGGTTTCATTAAGAGGCAGCTTTTGAATCGTTAAGAGGTGAATCTTGTTTGGTAAAAAAAAAAGTCTGCCTCGTAATGGTTCTAAAACTCTCTTAATGATTTTGTATCATGTATCTCATTTAACCATTAAGAGCCCATAATCCATTGTATATAATTACCAAACAATTATATTTTACTCTATATTATATCATAAGAGTCTCTTAATTATTCTGACCACTTAATCATTTTGCACTAAATTATTCAGCAATTGTCAAACAGCACCTTAATCTTCATTCAATATTAATCGAATTAACTATATAAACAAATAATTAGGATGAAGTAACAAGACAGATGACAAAAAATTAATTTGACAAATTCTCAGATGATCCGGTTACAATTTAACAAATATAAAGTAATGATATAAATACGTATGTAAAAACATAATTTATAGATTTTTTTTATCAACCTAGATATCCAACTCGTTATGCAAGTAGACTAATATTTAAATTTATATAAAAAACATGCCATGCATTAGCATTTCTCTTTGATTTACCATTTTTTAAGAAGGCGAAGGATCATGTAAGAAGAGAAGTTATGTGAGAAACGTAAAAAAATATTTGAACCTTTGATCATTTTTAATCTTTTTTTCACCTCATTAATGTTGACATTCATTGATTCAATGGTAAAAATATTTTCTTATTGTTCTTGGCTTAAAAGAAGTTAACCTTCTTCTTTTTTTATTAACCTGGATATCTAACCCGCTATGCGAACCGACTAATTCCAGGACAACCACCTGCTTTACAGATAGCCCGGAATCACCGCATTTGAACCTCTATGACCACAAAAAGATTTTTATTTCTCCTTGGATTTGAACCTGGAAGTATATATCAAAAAGAAATAAAAGAAAAAAGTGTTAGTTATAACTTGTAAGAGATGAAGCTGAACCATTCAAACCATGACTTAATTTGATTCATTTCATAAAGAATAAGCCAACTTAATCCATTCATTTTGATGTTAACATACCCTTTTTGTCTTAACTTTATTTCTGAAAGAGACGTGAGGGTTGCAAAACCGAACATAGTGGCATAATAGCTTAATGGTCCACCTTACACACTAAAGTCTTGTCTTCCCCCCAACCATTTCAAACTATTTTTTATTAAAATATTGGAATTTGGAAATATAACTCATTATAAAATTGGGTAACCTTTTAATTTAAATTTACCCATTATACCAGGTTTGCATGTCACCTCATTTTCTACGTAGGTTGTCCACATGTACTATAATGATGTGACTTTTTATTACAACATTGTATTTTCAAAATTACTTTATTATAGCATCTACTAGTTTTTATTAAACAATGTACTTTTAATTTTAATATTTAGATATTTTACTTGTTATTTAATAAATATATTAAATGAATTAAAAAAATTCTAAATTATTCATTAATATACCAATATTAGTAAAACTAGTAGAAAACAACTTATCTCGCTAATATTTTTTAAAAAATTATCGTTTTTTGAAAGAAAAAAAAAAGAATTGGTCCATTTTTACTATAAAAAAAAAAAGAATTGCTATTTCATACATTTAACCCTTTTTTTTCTAATAACAAATGTTCATTATTAGTATTATTATTTGTATTTGTTTAAGAATAAGGATTTATCTTTTAAAAGAAGTGTTTATTTTCAAATTCTATCATTCAATATAAGATGAATAAATTCAATATTTCATTCATGATAAGATTAAAATTGTCATTTGGTCTATATTACATAATAAGGTTCTAAATGGTGTAAGGTGTGACGTGACAACAAGGTCAAACCCTAGGAGTCACGACGTTTTTCAAGACATTATTTATGACAACAAATCTGTATCTAAACTATATTAATAAACATTTATACCAAAAGTCTTAAATGCAACCTATAAAGCCTAAAGTACTACCCTTTTATGCATAAATTTCAAAAATCTCTTAATTACAACTTCACATGCATAAGGTACATTCTTGATGCATACCACCACGAACATCCAAGTTGAAACTTACAACTTTGCTTTATTTATTTCCAGCTTTTTTCCTTCCTTATTTAGAGCTTTTTTTTTTCCTTTTTTTGGTATTTTCATACCATTCTTTATTTATTCAAACTTTTATTTTAGTTAATTTTAGCTCTCCTTTGCAAAAAGGTGGATATTGATTTCTGTTTCGGTTTGTATAAGATAATTTTAATTATTTTTTAAATGTATTCACTAGATATTTGTTTCTTCCTTCATTATAATTATTTGGACAACATAATTGATTTTCATGTCTGTGTACAATAAAATTCAACTTGATTCCTTATTTGTTATATTGTACTCGATTACATCCTGTTGCATTGCACGGGTACTCAACTATAAGGAACCGAGGTTTAAATATTTCTAAGGGTTTCCGTGTAAGATCGAATGTTTAAATATAAATTTCATACTTTTTAATAAATAGTTGCACTCATTTTTAGTTGTAGGTTTATTTGAAAATTTGGCATCCCGTCGTATTATGCGGGTACACAACTAGTATCTATATATACATATATGTTTTTTTAATATTATTTAATGAGTCGGTGATATTAAACAATTTGAATTATATTATATGCTTCAAACTGAAAATTAATACACTAAAAAGGTAGGATTAATCATAAATCACGTTTACAATAACCATTCATTGGATCATGACGTGCCACGAGCTTAGCATGGAATAAGACATAAGCCTTGAGTCACGACACGACACAACCGTCGGCACCCGCTTTTTAGACGTTGATTGAGAACATTTATTTTGGTATAGAAAAAACATATAATTTTATTACTTTATTTCAATTTTCTTATTTTATTATTGTTGTTACAGTTAGTCATTGCCTCGAGGTTTAAAGCCGCATAAAACTAGGTGACGAGCAAGTGAGGGAATTGACGCCTAAGGTATGCTCGCTTTTCGCTCGCCAACTTCTTTACAACACTTGGGCTTGTCGTTAGATAACAAATAGAATAATTTTGACGATATTAATAATGATCAGTTCACATATTATTAAAAAAACAAAATTGTGTTTTTTTTTTGTCTAAAGTAGTCACTATCGTATTTGGTAGTTACAAATAGACATTTTAGCTCGTCACCTAAACGTTATTGGAATAGAAGAAAAAGACATCAATTTTTTTGTATGAGTTATATGGTCGGCATCTTGTTTGCATCTAAAATTGAGTAAGACTTAAGATAAGACGGTATACAACTTTTATTGTGTCATCTGCATACGTTATTATCACATCGTAGTTGTCGATTTGACAGTCTTTTTTATGAGAAAGCAACTGGACAAATGCCGAAAAGAATGTATATTTATAGAACCTTATAGACATGGAAATAAGATTGATAAATGACAAATCCAAATCGACCACGACAAGATCTTCTTTTGTAAAACCCCCAAACGTTATCCTCTTTTGACAAATACCTAAAAATTAGAATCCTATTCGGACAAATATTCAAGAAAATATGTAAAAATAAAATCAAATGTAATCAAATTTGTATAAGTTTATATTTAATATATAACTTAAAAGCAATCTAAAAAAAACTATTGTAACGCTTTTAGATACGACATTTTATAGTTTGGCTCTATAAACTTAAGTTCTATAAAGTATTATATTATGACGCTTAAACAATATAAGCGTCCTATAAATCCATTTGTTGTAGTGTAAAATGACATATGTGAGAATGTATAGAACTCTTGTATTACTTTCCAAAAAAACCCCTTAAAAAGAGAGAAATAAGTTCCAACATATATACAAAAGAAATTGTCCAAGTCTAATAACAGACTCTTAACACGCCGCCTCCAACAAAGGCTTAGACACACTAATTGTTCTAAGACGTTGAGTCCATAAAAAGGTTCCTTGAATCTAATATCATGTGAGAAAACGTGTCGAGGGTTCTTTAGAAAGTAAAATCTGAAGGTTTCTCACAACAAAAATTTATACCGTTTTAAGGACTCGACACCTAAAAGCAACTTATACTCGTCTAGCCCCCTCTCGACACTTTGGAAAAGTTAGGACTATGTGGTCGTCTAACCTCTGTCGAAAGAGATGCAATAGTCTCACGTTAGCTACGCTTAAACCGATTATCGTCTGTATGCTAATACGGTGAACCTCCTTCCTCCATTAAAAGGCTCTTTCGGAGAATAAATCTAGAGTTCCACGTATTTTCACGACAAAAATAAGTCGAGCGAGGCGCAAAAGATCGAAATCAACCCGCCGTATCATTATTGAATAGATTATATCAACAATAGTCCCAAGAAACACCATGGGAAAAATCTGAAATTCAATGGCAGCTTATACGCATTTTTGATCGAAATGCTTTGCTACCATAAAACTACCACAATAATCAAAAGACAAACAACAAAATAGACAGAAGGGTTGTTTTCAATTCTAAATCATTTTTTTTTTTCAAATCTCCCTCCCAATCAGGCTTCATTCATAATCTCATGATCCAAATCTCTGTTCTTCAAGATTTGTTCCACAGAATGGTGGTCTCAGCAATCATGGAGGTCACCACATATGGATCCATGTTCGAGGCCGGCCTTCGGTCCTCGAAATACCCTTTCCCTTCTTTCTCCGTGTCTCGCCCAACACGAATGGAAGCTCCACGGTTGGCAACACCCTGCAACGAGTATTCGAAAGGGAAAATAAGATGTTTGTGGAACGCAAGAAATTTGAAGACAAAAAACCCCGGAAGATTTCGATGCAATGTTTTACCCATAAGAAGGTGTTGATGTCTGCCGTTTCATGGCGACCGGTGAGACGACGTTCGTTTCCTTCACCATAAGCCGCGATGTGTTCCTTGTGCCTTAAACCCATCTTCTCGATAGCTTTCTTGATCACCTCGTATCCTCCCTCTTCCCTCATCGACTTTGTGCTGAGATCACAAGATTCTCATTACAATAAATTCAAATACCGATATCGTTTCGGTGTATAAACTTTGGAGTCGTAGAATACCTGTAATTCGTGTGAGCACCGGCCCCATTCCAGTCACCCTGTCCAAATAACATGTTGAATTGAATACAACCTCTCTTATACTCGAATCAAAACTCGAAATGCTTGAAACATGTTGAAGAAAACTAACCGGAATAGGCTTGGGGTCGAATGAAACCACCACCCCGTTAATCTCAGTAATCCTCTACAAAAAGAGAGAAGTTTCAACGTCAAGATCACCATCAAAGTGTTTTTCAAAAAAAGACGGTAGATTTAGGGTACCTCAAGAATATAACGAGCGACCCACAATTCATCACCGGCAGAGATTCCAACAGCAGGTCCTACTTGAAATTCCCACTGCACACGAACACGAAAATGGAGTTAGAAACGAAAAAGGTGTCCGAATGGAAGATGGGTGAGAAATTTAATGTTACCTGACCGGGCATAACTTCGCCGTTGATACCACTGATGTTGACACCGGCGTAAAGACAAGCCTTGTAGTGTGCATCAACAATATCCCGTCCGAAAGCCTTCTCGGCACCAATACCACAGTAGTATGGCCCCTGAGTTGCATTCATCAACAATTAAAACCACAAACAAATTACTAGGTGACAGGTTTTGGAATGTCCAAAGAGTTATTTAATAAGTTTCCGAATGTTTAAGGACTTATTTGTTCCAAAAAATTGTCCAAAAACTTAATCATACACCAAAGTCCATCGGGTTTTTTCAGATTTTTTTCATTATATAAACAAATTAATCAATACTTTTGCTTTTCCAACAAACTTATAGTATTTAATTGGAAAAATAATACCCAAATTCAATTTCCAAGATTCTTTTGAGTACCAATTAATTTCAGGGATTCTTTAATGTCAAAATAAGATCGATTTATGCATTAAAAATGTAAAAACTGAGTTTTGATATAAATAACTATGAGGAGAAAATCATTAGGTAAGGTGCATTTAGCAATATAGGGATATGCAATTAGTCTTAGAGGTTGTTTGTTTACCTTTTAATAATTTCATTAAGAGGCAACATTTGAATCGTTAAGAGATGAATCTTGTTCGGCAAAATAAGAATGTCTCTTAATAGTTCTAAAACCCTCTAAATATTAAGAGCTCTAATTTCATTGTACACAATTACCAAACAATTATATTGCATTTTGTACTATATCATGAGAGTCTCTTAATTATTCTGACCACTTAATCATTCTGCACCAAACCATTCAGCAATTGTCAAACAATAGCCCTTAAAAAAGTAACTTTTAGATGATCTCCGCTTTAATTCACCGGAAATTTTACTGGTTATTCTTCAGGGTTCGGCGAATATGTTAAAAATGTCCTTGGTTCAAAAGCTATGTTTTATGACAGTTTGACAAATACCCTAAGAAGCTTGTGATCTTTGAACAGATGTGCACTTATTGATTACCTGTGGACCAGGGAAACCTCCTTGAGGCCAGCCCAAAGGCCAGTTAATATCCTTCTGTAACAAAGTGTATTCTTGCTCAATTCCGTACCTATTAACAGTAAAATATCGAATTAGACAGCTTCAAAAACATTAAGCTCTTGAATTTAAGATTAAAGATTCAAGTTTCTTGAAAGAAAAACGAAAAGATACCATGGAACCTCCTTTTCAACATCTGGGTTGCTGAAGATTTTTGCAGCAGCACACCTCTTGTTCGTTGGAATTGGTTCACCAGCAGGGGTGTAAGCATCACACATCACCTACATTATTATAAAAAATATGCAAAAAATTGGTCAAAAAGTTCCAATCTTTAAGGAAAAAAGAGTCGTAAATATATATATACACCCCCAAAAGTAGGGGGATCTTAAAAAATGTACCAAGATATTGTTGCCCCTCCTGAATGGATCCTTGAAAATGGCTTGAGGGCTGTTTCATTCATCAAGAACACGTTTTTAATCGAATTAAAACTTGGGGAAATATTCAAGAAATCAATAAAGATTCGGAATCTTGATGACAAACTATAAACTTGGCTACGCACTAGAGGATGACTTCACTGTCTTCGCCTGGGGCTTGACCTGTGCTGGAGCCATCGTAGTTCCATTTTGGGAGCTTCTTGGGATCATTCACAGGTCCTGGAAGAGTCTAAACAAGACAAGAAAACAAACCCAAAAAAGATTACTCGATAAGTCCAAAAAACAATCAACTAAATGAATAAAAACAGAGCAAATCTTATGTTATATAGAACAGATCTACTTACCCTTGCTTTGCTTCTAAGATCCATGCCCGATCCACCAATCCTGTTCGAAAATCAACGATATTAGATAAGTACTTAACAAGTAAACTCCAAGATGATAGAATGAATTCCTTCATTAAGTACAGGTACAAGATTCTTTTTGACTGGTTCAGTAAATGACGAAAAGTTCGAACTTTTTATCATGTAGTTTACGAGATCAAAGACATGAGAAGAAAAGATGTCAAGATCAAACAACCCTTTTCATTACTTGTATGGATTCAAATCGCACCCATCTCGTGGATCGAAGAAGAAGTGAGAGTGATGTAGTTTCTATTGGTTCAAGTGATATCTACTATTGACTTTTTACGATCGGATTCATCTAAGAACAATCGAAAGACACGACTTCTATTGTTTTCACCGTAAAAACCACCAAGAACTGTCCAGACAACTACACAAAATCCAGCTAAAATCATGTTTGAAGATAAAGATCATAAGGATTTCTTAGGAAGCCATAAGAAATCCAAGAAAACCAGAGACATTAATGGCGGAAAAAGCAGGGGGTTGGTGAATAAACAATAACAGGTGATCCGAAAACATAGGAAAAAGGTTGAAAAGATGAAGAAAAAGGAGGAACAGGAAACCCACCATATGTATTCAGCGATGATCTTAGGGGTGGCATCAGTGAGGTCGAGGTTGATGAGATCCGAAAGCAGTGCCATGAGATCGGTGCGTAGAAGGTTTGGCTGCACAGGATAAGAGAGAAGGATATAGAGACGCGAAATGGAGTTGCCGGCTCTGGTTTTTATAAGTGCACGTCTTCTTGTTGATGATGAAACCAAGTGATGGTTTTTAATACATTAAAAATGGAATTATCGCTTGTAAAAAAAGTTTGAATTTTCAAACATAACTCATGTTATTAATATTCTGTAATAAAAATATTGTAGTGAATTACAATGTTTGGTCCATGTGGTTTATCAAAATCACACTTTACGTTCCAAAGAATAAATCAATTACAAAAAAGGTCCTGGGGTTCACATTTTCTCCCACCCTAGGCCTAGATCCTTGTTGTTAACCGTATTATGTTAACTTCGTTAACTGGAGGGTATTTTTGTAATTTTATTTATTATTTTAATATTCTCTAAAGATATTAAAATTTTAAAAAGTATTATACTTTATCATTTACTATAATAGTACTCACGTAATGCAGCAAGACACATCTTAATTTTATTGTTCTATTTTATTATTTGTCTTTGTCGATATTATATACGATTTTATGTGTTTTTAAGAAAAGCAACAATGATTTTATTTTTGAATGAAATATAAATTTGAAGATATCATAAAAATTTGAAAAGAAAATATATCAATGTTAATATCAAATCAACTATTTAAAAGTTTTCAATTTTTATGTAATTTCTTTAATTTATTTATTTTATTATAATTTAATTTAAGTTTAATAACGAATAATTTATTTTTGG